ATGTATATACCTCACCTCCCTTTCAAGTTATAAGTAATTCTAATTAGAATATTACGTAAATATCCCAATACAATCCCTTAAATTACGATCACAATTTATGTTAAGCAAGTCTGCAAATATCACAAAATTTCAAGTTCCTAAAATGAGAATAAAACATATTGTAGTAATTAAGCAATGATGTATCGACATGCGACTCTTGGTTAGTATTTTGGGGTGTTACAACTCTCTCCTCCTTAAAGAATTTTTATCTCGAAATTTACCATACACTTGTCCCCAAACAAGTGTGGATACTAGGTCCTCATGTCTTCTTCTCTCTCCCAGGTAGCTTCTTTTCAAGAATGGTTCCCCCAAATTATTTTTTCTAAGGGGATTCTCTTGTTTCTAAGTTGCTTTTACTTCACAAGATTGAATCAGGATAGGTTCTTCATTATACGTCAAGTGAGGATTAACCTCAATAGATTCAACTGAAAGAACATGAGATGGATCACAATGATACCTTCTGAACATAAAAATATGGAAGACATTGTGGATCTTGTCTAACTCAGGTGGCAAAGCTAATTTATATGCAACTGGTCAAACCCTTTCAAGTATCTCATAAGGTTTAATAAATCGGGGACTAAGTTTTCCTCTTTGGCCAAATCTGATAATCTTTTTCCATAGAGACACCTTTAAGAATACTATATCTCCAATTTTGTGCTCACTGTCACACCTTCTAAGGTCAGCATACGACTTTTGTCTATCTGAAGAAATCTTTAGACGATCCTTGATCATATTTAGCTTGTCTTTCATTTTTACACAAATTCAGGACCAATAAGCTTTCTTTCACCAACTTCACTCCAACAAAGAGGGATCCGACATTTTCTTCTATATAAGACTTCATAGGGAGGCATTCCAATAATCGATTGGTTGCTATTATTATAAGCAAATTCTATCAAAGCCAAGTGTTTGTCCCAACTACCCTAAAATCCCAAAATTCAAGCTCGAAGCATATCCTCCAAAATTTGTATCACTCTTTCTGGTGGACCATCTGTTTGAGGATGGAATGAAGTGCTAAATTTTCAAATTAGTACCCATGGCTTACTACAAGCTACTCCAAAATCTAGATGTAAACCTTGAGTCTCGGTCAAATACAATAGACATAGGGATCCCGTGTAGTCTTACAATCTCAATAAGGTACAATTAAGCTAAACGGTCAAGTGAGTAATCAATCTTGATTGCTAAAAGTGAGCACTCTTTGTTAGCTTATCTATATCACCCATATTGCATCTTGATTTTTTGGAGTGCGAGGAAGTCCAGAAACAAAGTCTGTAGTTATTCTCTCCTATTACCATTCTAACATTGGAAAAGGTTGTAGCAAACCAATTGGGACCTGGTGTTCTGTCTTTACTTGCAGACAAACCAAACATTTTAAAATGACTTCCGCAATGTCTCTCTTCATACCGTCGCACCAATAATGTTCTTTGATGGTCTAGTGCATCTTTGTACCTCTAGGATGCATTGTATATGACGATGTATGTGTTTCATTCATGATTTCTCTTCTCAAATTTTCATCATTAGGGACACATAAACTATTTTGATAAGGTACCATCCTCCGTTAATACAAAATCAAGTTTTTCCCCATTTTGAACTTCTCTAGTCAATTTATGAGTCTCTCATCGAACCCTTGCGCTTCTTTTACCTGCTCAAGTAATATTGGTTTGATTTTCAAATTAGCAATAACTGAACCATTTGAATCAAGTGCAAAACAAACATTCACGGCTCTTTAACTCAAGAAGTAAGGGCAACGGACTCAAAGCTAAGCTTGCGAAGGATTTTTCAACTTAAGGCATCAGCCACCATATTGGCTTTACCTGGATGATAGTTAATCGTGCAGTCATAATCCTTGATGAGTTCAGTCATATACGTTTTCTTAGGTTCAGCTCCTTCTGTGTACCATGTACTTTAAGCTCTTGTGATCTGTGAATATATGACATTTTTATCCATACAAATAATGCTGCCATATTTTTAAAGCAAACACTATAGCAGCAAGTTCAAGATCATGAGTAGGATAATTCAATTCATGTGGTTTTAATTTCCGAGAAGCATAAGAAACAACTTTCCCTTCTTGCATCAAAACACATAACAGACCTCGATGAGAAGCATTACTATATGACACATACTATTTCCCCTCAATAGGTAAAGTAAGTATAGGAGCTTGTGTCAACAAGGATATGAGAGTTTCAAAGCTCTCTTGGCATTTGTCATCCCAAGTAAACTTTATTTCTTTCTTCAAGAGTTTAGTCAAAGGGGAGGCAATAATGGAGAAGCTTTTCACAAATCTTCTATAGTACCCTGCTGAGCCCAAGAAACTTCTTACCTTACTCGGAATTTTGGGAGGTCTCCGTTCAACAATTGCTTGATTTTTTACTAGGATCAACCTTTACACCTTCTTTTGATACAACATGTCCCAGAAAAACCACTTCATTAAGCCAAAATTCATACTTGGAAAATTTAGCATAAAGTTATTTCTCCTTCAAAATTTACAACACAATCCGAAGGTGTTTATCATGGTTTATTAGAAGAAGAGGCCATAACTTATTTCCTTCAAAAGGGAAGATCACATTGTATTAGGGACATGTACATTATGCACGTACACTTTACATGCAATAGAAATATTATAAACCATGTAAGTGAATAAATAATATAACAAGAACCTTCTAAAAAGCGAAACGAGTATACAAGCAATTCACAACAAAATTCCTAGAACCACAAACCTAGGCTCTGATACCAATACTTGTAACAACTCTCTCGGAAGGATGCTACTACTTAACAAGAAAGCTAATATAATACTTGCACATTTAAAAGGGATTAATCTAAGATATATATATTATAATTCAATAGAGAAATTTAGCCTAAAATGACAAGTGAAAGGTATAAAAGCTTGTCATTTAGAAATTTAGTTAATCTCAAATTTAAACAAGACAAGAGTCCCAATTTATGGCATAAGAATCTTTCAAAATAATATTTTTTTTGGCAAGTAAAAAAAAATATTTTATTACCAAATGAACAGACAAAACAGTAACTCATGCATACTGGACATCTCCCAACTATGCATTAACAACTCTCTCTTCTATCAAACACTTGTTACACTATTTCCACTCTAGCTAAAACTTGCATCTACTCAGGATAAAAATTCAAAGTTTCTAGGACATAATTTAAACGTATTCTTGATCTCCCTCTCATATGCACCTCTTAAATAGCCTATTTTGCCAGTATTGCCGAAGTTCTTGTAACTTTCTGGAAAATTCTTTGATTCCTCTCCTGCCAGATGAGGTACATACTTGCAGCCAATGTCATCCTATATATCTCGAACTTTGCTTGCTTACCTTTACAATATGTATTTGCCCACCTTGTCTCCTCTTCCCATTATTTAGCTTCTCTCCTTATATTTTTCCAGCATAGTAACTTCAGCTAGACATGTGCTGAGAATACACAGTGAAAGAACAAATGATTATGGGTCTCATCTTCAGCTCAACAAAATACACAATGGAGATCTTCCACATAGCCCCATTTTGCTAATCGATCCCTTGTGAGTAACCGATTATGTAGAGCTAAATATAAGATGAAAATCCACTTAGGACAGGCTGAATTATTACAGGTAATCCTCCTCCACTCCACCTTCTGGTATTCTCCTCTAATGGCTTTATATAACTGCTTTACAGAGAATTTTTCAGTACTCTTAACATACTCCTCATTCCAACCAATAATCTCCAATTCTTTATGCATCTGGAGTATCTTCTTAATCATCAATGAAGCATGTGGGGCTAAAATACCCCACAGATACCTTGTTTCCCATAATACATGTGAATCCACTTCACCTATAGTCTATCTTTCTTAGTACTCAAATTCCATAATAGTTTACTTATGGCAGCCTTGTTCCATGCTTGGATATCCAACAAATTGAGACCCCCTGCAGTTTTAGGACTGCATAGTTGTTCCCAAGCAATTAGTGCTTTCTTGGATGCATCTATTCCCCCGGTCCACAAAAAAGTCCTGCATAATGTTTCAATACATTTGATAATTTTTTTTGGCAACACAAACACCTGTGACCAAAACACCTGATGGAGAACAAGACACTCTTAATCAGCTAAGTCCTTCCTGCATAAAAGAGAAATCTGGAAGTCCAACTCTATATTCTTCTCATTATCTTATCAATCAAAGGTTGATATTGTAGGATAGACACCCTCTTAGTACTTAGTGGGACTCCTAAGTATTTAAAAGGTAAATATCCTTGTGAGAATCCTAATTCATGAAGTATTTCACTTTGTACATTTGTTGGCACACCCCCAAAATAAATGGAACTCTTATCAGCATTTGCAACTAGCCCAGAAGCTAAGGAGAATTCTTGGAATAAGCCAAACATAAATCTAACTGATACCATATCTCTTATACTGAATAGTAAGAGATCATCAGCAAAACTGATTTGCACTATCTGCATTCTTTCACACTTAGGATGGAAATTGAAGTTAGGATCATGCTTTAGTTTCTTGGTCAATCTTGTCAAATACTCCGTAGATAACACAAACAAAAAAGGAGATAGAGGATCCCCTATCTTAATCCTTTCTTTGTAAGAAAAGGGGTACTAGGTTGTCCATTTATGAGGATGGAATATGTTACTGTACTAATACACTAGTATATCCACTCAACAAATTTCTCAGGAAATTGCAAACAAGTCATTACCTGCTTAAGATAGCTCCATTCCACATAATCATAAGCCTTTTTCATATCTACCTTAAGCATACATCTTGGGGATACTCCCATTTCCTTTTACTAACTCATTGCTATAGATGATGTTGTCATTTATTAGCCTGCATGACACATTGCATCCTGTTTGTTAGCACTTTGGATATGATCTTGTATAATAAAGTACAACAGGAGATAGGCCTAAACTCTGATACCTTGGAAGGATGAGCTACTTTTGGTATAAGAGTCACAGTGGTGCAGTTGATGATTTACACAATTCACATGTGGAGAAGAAATGTAGGACAAACATCAATAATTTTCTCTCCTATCTGTCCCCAAGTCTGCCTGAAGAAATATGCACTAAAATCATCACATACAGGAGCTTTGTTGTCATTTATACCCTGCAATGCCATAACCACTTCCTTTCTGCTCACAGGTGCAATAAGGTGACTTTGTTGGCTTCTATTCAAAACTGGACCATTTTTCATTACCCTTATGTTTACAGCAAGTAATTGAGTGGCACAAAATCCCAATAATTGCTTGTAAAAATCTGTAATTTCTTCCTCAATCTCAGCTCTACTAGTAATAGTCCTTCCTGTATTTGTGATTAAGCTTGTAAACCTATTCTGAGCTTCTCTATTCTTCAAGCTAGCATGAAAGTATGTTGTGTTTCCATCTCCCAGTTGTAACCATTGTACCCTTGATTTCTGCTTCATGATGTTTTCTTCAATATTCATCCATTTTTTCAGATTCAGTTTAACCTCCTTCTCTAGCTCAACGATGTCTTATGCTTGTCCTGGTTTCCTCATAGTACTTTGTACATCCTTCAAATGTTGCCTATACATTCTTATTCTACTCTGTACCCCCATAGAATGCAATACTATTTAGTTCTTTCAAACCTTTTTTCACATTTTGTAACTTCTGCCATATTTTATACATTGTCCCATTACTTGGTCTTTGTTTCCATGCCCTCTGTACAATCTCCTGAAAATTCTCATGTTTTACCAGATGGTTTAGGAACTTAAAAGGCTTATGCCTAATATCCTCTTCTTGCATCAGTGTAATACAAAGTGGGGAATGATCAAAACATCCTGGATCTAATACCTTCACATCTGTGAATTACATATCAAGCATCCATTTAGCATTCACCAAAGCCCAATCAATTCTATTATATGTGTTCCCATTTGTCCAAGCAAACTCTCTTCCATTATGTCTTAGTATTGTCATGCTTGTGTCAACAAGAAAATCTTCAAAGTCTTTAGTTTTTCCTTCATGAACTGTAGCTCCAATCATCTTATCTTCAGCTCTGTGAATAACATTATAGTGCCCCATAGATATCCAAGGTTCCTGTTGACCTGAATTAATGTTTCTCAGCTTTCCCCATAAACTCCTTCTAGGTTCAATGGTATGTAAACCATATATAGTAGTAAAACAAAACTTACAATTTAAAGCCCTGATCTTCACTTCTGAGTGAATAAACTGTTCATCAATTATTAATGGGTCACACTCAATAACTTAAGGGTCCCATAATATCCATACCCTCCCCTTATTACTGCAAATATTGTTATCTATGCTTCTCCACCCTGGTGCAATTGTTTTCATAACCTTAATTATTTGATGGTCCTTAATCTTATGTTCAAGAACAGCTATGATACTAACATTATTCGTTCTAATAAACAATTTGGCCTCCTTCTGCTTATGAACTTTATTCAGTCCCCTAACATTCAATGCTACTAACTGTATTGCTGAGGGTTAAGGGTATTACTTTCTGTCACTCCACTGCTACCACCTTTATCTCTACCTCCTCCTTCCATAAACCTTGTATCATGGTTATGAAATACACTGAAATCATTTGAAATTATTAATTGGTTGTCTTCCTGTTGTATCCCACTTTTAGCTGCAGATTTTCCCCTTACTGCACTCCATTGATTCATTTGATTATGCTCCTCAGCAATTATCTCTTTTCCAGGCCTCTGGTTGCATTCTAGCTCACTGCAACCCCCACCATTCTCAATTTGCTCCTCATCTGCTCCTTGCTTCACATTTACATGTTGTTTCCACTCCATTTTTTATTTATTTTGCTTTGGCTTAGCCTTAATCTCTGCATCATCTCTTTTACAAATATGTCCTATGGTCAGACAAGTAGGACAATAGCTTGGTTCCCATTCATACTTAACCACCTGCTTGAAACTTCAATCATTAGGATCCTCTACCTTTATCTCTGTAAGTAAGGTTCGAGTAATATCCATCTCAATAAGTAGTCGAGCATAGGAGATTCTATCCACTGTGTGGTACATTCATCAACATAAATTGGAATACCCAATCCACTCCCAATTATGCTTAGTGATTGCACACCCCAATAGTTCAATGGTAAGTTTGGGAACTTAACCCATATAGGAATAGTCTGCATTACCTCCTTAGTAAAATCAAAATCAGGTGTCCATTTTTTCACAATGATGGTTTTTGATTCAGCATATGAGGCCCAGCATAAAAGACCTCATCTCTATCTTCTAGCGTAGTGAACTTTACAAGGAAGTACCCATCATTATGACAGTAAACTTTAGGTTTCACAATGTAGGTCCAGTTAGCTACTATGTACCTTTCAAGTGCCGCAATGGTAGGTTCAGCCCCCACCACATAGAGGATCAATGCTTGTTCCCACTTTTGCATTTCTAGCTCCACCTCAGCTTTACACAATTCCACCACTGTTTCCCCATTTCGCACTATTGGTGCCACATATTGGAGTGTCATTCCTTGTGTAGCGAGCCTATTACCTTTGAAAAGGCTTGCCCACTTCCTCTCTGATACCTCTTCACCCTCCTTCTCCATCTCTTCACCCACTTCTCCTATAATTTTCCTCAATTCTGAAACCTTCTCCTTGGACATGCTTATCGCACTACCTAGGCATGTCAATTTCGACATAATCGTACTGTTCTTTATCGGGGTTTTGGCACCCTGTATTGCAGGCCACTGTTCTATCGAAACCCCAAAATTGTCCCCTACCATATCCTGACCTTTTGCTAGTTGTATCTTAGTTACTTTATCCCCGATGGTCGTATTAGTCATCTTCCCTCGTCCCCTCACTATTTTCAGGCGTGACGCACATTAGTTCACCTAAACTGCGTCGAGAGAGAATTTAGTTACTCTATCCATTTATTTCAAAATAATTTTAAAAATATGCTTAAGAGATTTTCATGTATTATCTATACTACTACAAGAAACCTTATCAATCATTACCAACTTCGGGGTACCAAAACTTCATTGGTTAATGCTTCATACAGACCTTCAAAATAAACTGTAAATTTAATACATTACAAGACTTAGGTTTACACACCCCAAAATAGTAAAACATGTAGTCATACTTATTTTACAACCCATGGTGATATGATCAAATTAGCCGCCAAAATTCCATGAAAATAAACAACATATAGATCATGTACAAGTCCGAAGATTTATGCAAACTATAGATGCCTTTATGCAAATGTGATCTTTCCATAAAGCTCTCAAAAACTCCATCTCCAATGGCCAGCTTCAAGTATCCCCTCGAACGTTCCCTACGATAGAAACAATTATCGTTAAGCATAAAGTTTAGTGGTGTAAAAACTATATGCGTAGAGCTGCTAGATTCACCAAGTTACCTTTCAAAAGTCATGGGCAGCACAATTGAAACATAATAAATCAATCAAGTGAACAATTTATTAAGGGTATCAAGTTTTATATTTAAATATCAAAGTGTCAAGAACGCTCATATCACCATTTCCCAAGAGATCTAATACCAAGGCTCACCCAATATATATATCATACCGTCACACCCAACATAATCAAGTATCAAGAAGGACCGAAGCCCTATATCAAGAAGAGTCAAAGCCCAATAATCAAGAGAATCAAGAACCATATTAAAAATGGCTTCCTAGTTCATACTTAAAATGGACAACTTCCATACTTAAGACGAACCAAAAATCCAGAGTCAAGATGGCAAATAATATGAATCAATAGGCATTGCAATAGTGACAAAATCAAATCTACAAGAAGGACAAAGTCCCAACAAGAATGCCAGGTGATCAAGCAATCAGTACAAGTGCGCGAGTTACACAAATGTCTTGAAAGTCTTAGAGAATACAAATACGACAATACAATGTGACAGGAAGTAACCAAGGTATCGAGTTAACGCTTCAAATATACAAACGGATAACAAGAGTACAAGTACAAGTTTATACACAAACCTCGGGCTTTAGCATAGAAACAGTCCAACAAAACTCCAAGAGGTCAAACTGTAGGCCGACCAACGTATCAAGGTCCTCAACTTGTACACGAATATATATAACCTTAAAAATACAATTAAATAACTTTTTTAACTTATATTAGCTCAATAGTGTTAACGTAAAACAAGATCATAATCACAAGTAAGCCTAGCATGTACAAATACAACTATGCTCCCAAAACAGTGAATCTGTCCAGCCTGGTATCTCAACTCGCAACATTGTTTAGAAAAGGAAAATGGAAAAACTGGATTGTATATCCTCATGAAAGATGTAGGTACATCTCTTAAGGTAGCAAATAATCAAGAATCACCGTAAAATATATTTTGTAGAAAAAGATATAATCAAAACACTAGCAGTTGATCATATAGGATTTCTAATTCCAAAATCTGGACAGAACTTGTCCTATGTTGCGTCCCATATTTCGAATCCATAACAGCTAAATAAGAGTTTTACATAAACGTAAATGTTATACGTATATGAATTAGATTTCCAAATCATATTTATTTACGATAAACAAAGTTCTATAGAACGATATATACTTAAAATACTAAACACTACCCAACTCAGAAATAGATTTCATCACTTACCCAAGAGAAGGGTGTGTCTCGAATTCCAGCCAAAAGGACCATGTTTTTCTCTTGTGATTTTGTGAGTAATATGGATAGAGAAAGTTCTCCAGGTTTATTAGAGTTAAGGAACACGAAATGTTATAGAGGAGGTGTGAGAATATATGTTATAAAAGTGATGTTTATCACTTATAGATATAGCTGAAAGCAAAGTTGGCTGCCCAAAAGTAAAAATGTTGGCTGCCCAAAAGTAAAAAGGTTGGCTGCCCAAAATGTATATATATACCTATATGTATATACCTCACCTTCCTTTCAAGTTATAAGTAATTCTAATTAAAAAATTACTTAAATACCCCAATACAATCTCTTAAATTATGATCACAATTTATGTTAAGCAAGTCTGCAAATATCACAAAATTTGAAGTTCCCAAAATGAGAACAAAACATATTGTAGTAATTAAGCAATGATGTATCGACATGCGACTCTTGGTTAGTATTTAGGGGTGTTACAAAAAGGGGAGAAATTAGGGTTAAAAGGGGAGAAGAGTGTTGGTGGGTGGTTCAGGGATCCACATCAGCACCTTCAAAATGTCTTCACGCACTCAAGCAACACGAGATCACATTTTGTGCCACATCAGCCCGTAGTGTTTAAAAGGAACAAATTATGGGTGGTTAAAGGATTCAATAGGAAAATGCACAGTTGAGGTACCTAAGGGGAAAAATCCGACAAGTTTAGGGACCCGTTTATGTGTTTGGCCTATTCTCTGATATCAATGGTCTAGAAGTAGGATCAACATATTTAGACCTTGCTTGTCCTCCCTGAGTCACGATCAACCGACTTAGATAACGTGTGTGTGCTAAAATCATCCCTGAAGTGTGACTTAAATCTAAAGTACATCTTTGTGTTAT